ATAATTTTTACTAAGGAGAGATGTCCCGGGGAGACTTGTCCTGAATGTGCCACCGATTTAATAAATAATTTTTACTGGGGAGAGATGTCCCGGGGAGACTTGTCCTGGGGAGACTTGTCCTGAATGTGCCACCGATTTAATAAATAATTTTTACTGGGGAGACTTGTCCTGTGGAGACTTGTCCTGAATGTGCCACCGTTTTAATAAACAATTTTTACTGGGGAGAGATGTCCCGGGGAGACTTGTCCTGGGAAGACTTGTCCTGAATGTGCCACCGATTTAATAAATAATTTTTACTGGGGAGAGATGTCCCGGGGAGACTTGTCCTGAATTTGTCACTGTTTTAATAAACAATTTTTCACTGGGGAGAGATTTCCCGGGGAGACTTGTCCACCCATGGCATTATTTACTTTTAATATTTACATTTGGGGAGAGATGTCCCTGGGAAGACTTGTCCTCTGGGAGGAGCTGTCCATGGGAAGACTTGTCCCATGGGGAGTTATGTCTCTGTGAAGACTTGTCCTGGGAGGACTTGTCCGGGGGAGACTTTCTGAGTGTGACTTGTCCCAACCCCCCAGAGAAGAGGGAAACAAAGCAGTATAGATATTTTCTATACATATTGGGATTGAATTTACAAACTGATTTTAATTAAACAAAATCACTTAATAACTTATAAAAATCACTTTAGTTACATTCGAAAGAAAGTTACCTGAGAAACAAAACATTTTAAGGTTATGATTGTGTTATTTTTACCTTAATTAAATGTTTCGATTTAATTGTGTATAACTAAAATCCAGTTTTTAATAATTTATTTAGATGTAATGAAGATTTAAACATCAGTGGTTTATATTCAGAGTTGATCCCCTCTGTGTTTTCATTCAAAAAATTACAAACATAACCTCAAATTTTTCGCTATTTATATATATGTATGACCCTTTCCTGTGAAAGGGATCTTCATAAATATTAATGTCAATATAAAAAGAAACTAAATATGCATTGTGCTGTCAAAAGAGAAATAAAACTTCATTCATAATTTAAAATAAGAAAGAGAGAGCCAGAAAACTAATAAAAAAAGAAAAATGAAAAGGAAGAATCAGAATCAATACAACAAACCTCATTAACTCTAGCGTAACGTTAATAAACAATTGCTCGTAAAAAAAGCTCATCTCTTTTATATGCAAAATGAAATAAGAGTTTTTATGGGGCAACAAAAGAAAAACAAGAATTTATTACATCCAGTGAAAATATATCAAGAATATGTCGGCAAACTGTGCGATTTTTCAATTTATTAAAAAAAAGAAATTAATTTGTTTTATGAAAACGAATGAATACCTAGTGGGCAAAAAACAAGCATTGTTTTAAAAACGTTTCAAAAACGTTTTTAGAACGTTTTATGTCTGCCAAATATATAACGTCCCAAAAACGTTATATGTTTCTAAAACCTTTTAAAAGCAATGGAACGTTTTTAGAACATTATTTGGCAGACATGAAACGTTCTAAAAACGTTTTTGGAACGTTTTTAAAACAATGATGGTTTTTTGCTTACTAGGTACCTATAGTTGGATTATCAAATGCAAAAAATATATATATTTCAAATATCAAGTGCTTATAAATATTTGCTATTTAAAAGAACGAAAATTTAGAAGTAAACAAAATTAATCACTCAATTTTAACACCCGAACAATGGGAATAAGCTCCTTCCATATTTTTCTCTCTCTCTTTAATTCAATTTTCTTCGACTTAACCCCTTTCTCAACGTCAATTATTCTTTCACTCTCTTTATTTTACTCGAAATCAAAATCAATCTCTCTTTCACTAACTCATTTGTTAAAGAATATTGAGAATTTGATTTATAGAAATGTATGTTTAATTCATAATCGCAATTGAATGTTTTTTCAAACAAAGCACAATACATATTCGACATAATTTAATTTTTAATAGTTGCAATTTTAAAATTGCAAGTATAAAATTACATTAGTTATAAAAAACTGTATAAAACTATTATTATTATTACTATTATTTTATATTATTTATTTTATAATGTAATTTAGTTATTTTTAATTAAGTAGGTAAATAATTTACTTGAATTAAACAAATTATAGTTTGCACCCGTGTAGAAATTGCAATGTGGCACTGGTAGGGGCCGTATAAGTTTTCCCTTTTAATATTAGGGGCCGAATAGGGCAAATTGCTGGGGACCTCACCAGTTTCGTTACGCAAAAGGTAATAGGGCCCGACAGTGGAAAATTAATGTGGCCCCAAACAAGGGCCTAACAGGACCCCTATCAAAGCCCTACTAATTACAAATGACCGCCTACTTAAAAAAACCCTGGTTTTTATTCATTTTTGACTATTTCTTGTAGTTCCAGGAGGCGTAAATAATTAGGAAGATGAGTAAATAATTATCATAAATTAATATCATAATTCTAACATTAATTATCATAGTTCCTGGAGGCCCCAATAAAAAACGTAGTTGAAACAACTATAAAAAACAATTAAATTAATTATATAAAGTAGGTAGTAAACTGAAATTATTTATTTATTTATTTATGTTTAATAATTGTTTAATTTCGTTTTCTAACCTTTTTTCCTACGTACTTTTGTTTATTTTACCTCGTATATTTAATACAAATACATCTAACAGAGAAAAAATTCCTAAACGCCGGGAATTGAACCCACGACCCTAACATTCGCAAACCGATAACCTAACCACCTAACCACGCTCGCACGCTACAATGTGCGAGCTTAATACTTGAGGACATTTATGTTCACATTAATTATTAATTTACAAAAAATAATGTCTCTATCAGTAATTAAAACTTGTTACTCAGGGGTTATTGGAGTCGCTGATTACGAATCTGAAGTCATTTTTTAGACATTCAAAATGGCGGATCCAATATGGCGGTCAAAATTCAAATTTGATCAGATTCGCATGACACTTGTTACTCGGGGGTTTTTGTCGTCGCTGATTAAGAATCTGATGTTACTTTTTCAAAATTCAAAATGGCGGATCCAGTATGGCGGTCAAAATTCAAATTTGATCAGATTCGCATGAAACTTGTTACTCGGGGGTTTTTGGGGTCGCTGAATAAGAATCTGATGTCACTTTTAAAAATTCAAAATGGCGGTTCCAATATGGCGGAAAAATTTTTAATTTGACGCAGTTTTCTTAAAAATTGTGACTCGGGGGTTTTTAGGGTCGCTGACTACAAATCAGAAGTCACTTTTTACGAATTAAAAATGGCTGTTCCAATATGGCGGAAAAAATTCAAATTTGATCAGATTCACATAAAACTTGTTATTTGAGGGTTTTTGAGATCGCTATTTACAAATTTGAAGTCACTTTTAAGAAATTCTTGCTTTCACTAATCTATAATGTAAATAATTTATTATTTTTACAAGTTTTAAGCGAATTGGATCATATTTAAATATTTTATTATCTATTTTGGGTCCGACATTTTGAATTTTGAAAAAGTGATATTAGATTCGTAATCAGCGACTCCAAAAACCCGTGAGTAACAAGTTTTTTAACAATCTATTTTGGATCCGATATTTTGAATTTTTAAAAAGTAAAATCAGCTTCGTAATCAGCGACTCTAAAAACCCCCGGCTCACAAATATTGTTCGAATCTGATCAAATTTTTAATTTTGACCGCCATATTGGATCCGCCATTTTGAAATGTTTAAAAATGACTTCAGATTTGTAATCAGCGACCCTTATTCCTCTGACTGGGACCGTTGAAAGAGATTTACTTCGCGTGCCACATTAATAAACAAATTGTTTAAATAAACTAAAATGTTGCAAAGAGCTATTTTTTTAATTTTTTAAAAATATAAATTCATAACAATGAATAACTAATTAATAATTATAATATACTATAATATAATAATATATAGTAGTTGAATAAACTGAGACTAACAATTTGATTGTATAATACTAGACGCAAAATAATAAAAAATAATTAATTAAACTTTTAATATTAGGGACCGTATTTGTTCTGTTTGGGACCCTTATAAGGGAATTACTTTGCGTGCCATATTATATTCGAAAATGTGGAATTCGGTCGCATCAATCGGGCCGTATTAGGCCCTGATAGGGAAAACGATATAATTTTTTGTTGGGGAAAACTGTGACGGGCCACAAAAGAGCCCTATTATTATCAGGGACTATAATGGCAATTTCTACACGGGCAATGACAGCAACAATTTTATTTATTTTAAATATTCTCTGTATTAAATTAATACAGTTAATTAGAATTAATCTAATCGCCACATACAAAAATATTGATTGTATCAGAAGCTAAAAAAGGATTTGTTAAAATAAATTTTGTTGGGTTGAAATTATTTGGTTTAAAAAAGTATTTATGTGCTATAAATGTAATTTTTTATTTATAAAGAGAAACTATTAAGAAGCATAATGGCTCAGAGACAAACATACTTTTAAATTATATTTGGTAAAAATATAACGTTTCTTTAAATTAAGGTTAGTTAATGCTCAGAGACAAGTAATTTTTAATTCAAAGAAATGATATTTGGTTCAATTATAATGTCAGTTAATTATTTTCAACTTCATATAAAGTAGAAACATTCTGTTCAAAAGAGAATTCTCTTTTCTTCTTTTAAAAAAATTAAAAAAAACATTTTCGATTACATATTTTTTCTTTTGAAAAAATTTATATATATATAAAATGTTGACTGAACAAAAGCAATTTGATCGTATGAGATAAATTCTCGTCTAACATTATTTTTTTTCTTCTCATAATTGGGGTTAAATTATGAAAGCAATCTATGAAAAGTTCAAGTGTGAGATTTTATAATGAAAATTCTATACTAGAAAATACTGGAATGAAGAAAAAAGTTGAAACAAAAGGAAATACGCGAGAGCATTATCTATAATATAGAAGCTCGGGGATTTTTTTTTCTTCTTACAAGCGGGTGAAAAACATATTCCTATTATATTGAAATTGCGTTGTTGAAAAGCATATTGACATCAATTACAGGAAATCGATAAATACATTAAATACACAGTATAGAAAATATTGGTACAAGATATGAATTTGTCGTTTAGGAATTAATTATTATATCGATGTTTGATAATGAGTCAATGAAGAAGGGACGAAAGAAACAGAGGTGACAACAGCCAACAATGTAAAATATATGCATCTATACATAATATATGTATATTAAGGAGTGAAAGCCTTATTGGCGCATATGCGGCCTTCTTCGAGGGGTTTTTTCTCTATTTCGACGACGCTCGACGATCGAAAATACAAAGAAGCCATCGGCTGCTTTTATTCGATGGCGAGGCTTGTAAAGCTGAGATGATATGGAAACTGAGGATGATGTGGACGAGGAGTTGCCGAGAGCGGCGGGTCGTGAAGAGGTAAGCTACTTTGTTTCATATACATCATTTTTTTCTTCTTTCTTTTTTTTCAGTGAGCAGCCTTCAATCCAACCTACCAAACCGTTAAAAAGAAAAAAATAATCCCAGACTTTTTGTTCTAAGCGCCTTAACTATCTTCAAGTTTTTCCTTTCATGATTTTTTCTTTACAAGCAGCTATTTGAGAAAAAAATCTGTTTACTCAAAGAGCTTTTTAGTCAAAAAAGAAAAAATCCCAAAATAGCAAAGAAAGAATTTTGAAAACGAAAAATAAACTCAAATTTAATCAAGCGAGGTGCACACTGACAAAATTTATTTAATTCAAATGAACGATTAGTTGTTTGTTACTGTTATCAAATAAATATTTACTTGAATCAAATAATTTTTATTTAGATTAATTAACTTCTATTTGAACCAATAATTTTAGCACTTCAATCATGTAACATTTAATTCAGTTAAATAAAAATTATTTGGTACCTACAAATAATTATATTTATTTGATTATAAGCAAATAATCGTTTATTTAATTCAAATACATTTTTTATTAGTTTAATTTTTTTTCTTGAATTAAAATTTCAAAACTAAAAAAATATTTACACTCTAAATCTGAATCAGTGAAAATTTTATTGATTTCAATTCAGTGCCCGCCAGTTTTCTTTGATGAATCAGTGGAAATCAGTAAAAACCACTGATTGCCAGTGAAATTCTACTGATTCATCAAAGAAAACTGGGCCACTGAATTGAAATCTGAATCAGTGAAATTTTCACTAATTCAGATTTAGAGTGTAGATAGTAGATACTCAAAAAAATATTCTATTACATTTATTGACGAATTTCTTTAATTGTAAAATAATTCGAAAACATCAAGTTTTATTTAAAATAAATATTTAATCTTTATTATTTCTCCATAGGAATTAAGATTTTCAAAAATTTCAAATTCAAACCATTTTCAAATTCACTAACTTATAATTCGATTTTTCAAAATTTAAATTATTCAGCAGGAAATAATTGAAAAATTATTTTTTTTACATTATAAATAAAAAATGTTTGACTGATGTCCGACTATAGAAAAAGTGTCCGACTACTGAAGCATTCGTAATTTTTCATTAAAATGCTTATATTTCATTAAATAATCAAGTATTTGTAACAAATTCATATGATTTTTAATCCTGAAGAACTCCTTTTATTGATAATGTGCTTATAAACACAGTAGCTATTTGTTATTTCCAGAAAAAAGCATAATGTGAGATCGTATCCTAAAGTGTCTGACTACTAATGCATTTACCCTATATTAGAAATAGAAAACATCAAATAATTTTAAAAAAATTTAATTAAACTTTTTCAAAAAAATTAATTTTACAGAATTGTTACTTAAAAGTATAAAAAATTCAGATTTTTAAAGATTGCAATTTAAAACCTTTTCAAAATTCAATTATTTTTTAAAATTCATGCTATATAATGATTTTAATATTCAAATAGTATCTAAAATTTTAACTAAAATTCATTTTTAATTAAATATTTATCAGAAAATTCTACGAAAATTCAATTATTGAAGTACAAAAATAAATAATAATTTATTGAATAATCGAATGTTCCTTAAAATTGAATTCTTATAAAGAATTTTATCAACAAATTTTTAAATAATTGAGGGCGTGGAACGGATAACTGCCTGCAACGCATGGTCGAAAGGGACTATACCAGTCAGACATCAGTGAGAGGCCTAGAGGCGCTCACTATTCTCTGACTGGTATAGTCCCTTTCGACCATGCGTTGCAGGCAGTTATCCGTTCCACGCCCTCAATTGAATTCTTTCGACGAATTTTAATGCAATTTTTAAGAATAATTGTATTTTTTGTGAAATTTAATTAAAATTGTTGTAAAAGTAATTGAAATTCAGCAATAAGTTTTATTATATATATTAAAATAATTAAATTATTACGAAGAATTTAATAAAAAAAAATTTTAAACTATTGATTTTTTCGAAAAAATTTACGCTATTTCTTTTTTAAATAACTTAATTCCTGTAAAAATTTTAGTATTTATGGAAATAATTGAATGTTTGCGTAGAATTTTATTAATTTTTTTTAAATAATTGAATTTTATTAAAATATTAATAGATATTGAAAATCATTAATTTGAAGAAAATAATTGAAACTATGAAAAGGATTTTATTAAAATTTTTGAAAATAATTGAGTTTTAAAGAATAATTTTAATTTTTAAAATATTTCAAAAATCTAAGTTATTTAAAATTTTTCCCCGAGTTCGCTGACCTGTGGCACCCCTGCAAAAACAGGCAAAAATTCAGAAAGGAAACAATATTATCTTTCAAGAAAACAGAAAAATTAATTTTATTAATTTTTATCCAGTTTTAAATAAATTTTTCGTTAATTAATAATAAATAATAATTAATAGCATCGGTAGTTGGGAGTAAAGTTTTTCGAGTTTAAAATCTACTCATCTAAAAGTGAGTTAAATCGGAGTGAAACATAAGAGTTATTCATTAATTCCCTTGGGAGTTATTTTGCAGTTACATCACAGTTTTTTAAAGGATATCAAATTGAGATATAATGTAAGAGTTAAAAAAGAGTAATGAAATTTCAACTCTCTAAATTAGTTAATTCCAATGTAAAAAAATAAAGCAGTAATTTCCTGTTCGGAAATTATATGATAGAAAAAATTTCTTTCATTAGAGTATTTAATTCGTTTCTGTATTATTTAAATCTTAAAGCGAAAAGAGAATAATCTGCGCGATTAAAAAGAATTACGATGAAAAAAAATATCTCGGTCTAATGTTTTTTTCTCTTTATTCTCTTTTCTTTTTTTTCTTAATTCTGATCAGTGATGCGTGCATTGATGTTTCCTCGAGCACAAGTTCAATCGTTGAATGGTAATGCAATGCTAGAAGATAAGGAAAAAAAAGATTTCCTCAGCAAAACTGAAAAGATTCGAATTCACTCTTTTTCAACGTTCAAAGGAAACTCATTTCCGTCACTTTATTCTACTTGAATCTCATTTTGCTCGATCCGCTTTTCGCTTCTGAAACCGTCCACAGTTAATACCTGTTTTTAGTGTCTTCGCGTATTAAGGATAATGCTATATATTTAGAAATGTTTCCCTCATTATAATTTCATTGCTCAAAAAAAGCTCCATTTCTACTTTATATAAACATAAACATATTATATAATGAGATGAAGAAGGCCTTTTTGTAATTCTATCCGAGATTATCAACATACAGAAAACGAAATTTCATTCTTTTCCTCTAAAAAGAGAGTTAGAGTATGTGTAGTTCTAACAAAGGAATATATCGTTACCCATGTAGAAATTTCCCTAAGTTTCCTTATCAAAAATTGAATTCTAGTAAGAATCATGTAAGGAAAAATGTAGGGAACTGGTTGGGCCCCGGGATTTTCTGTGACGCTCGGATCTTGTAATAATTGTCTTACAAGGAAATGTAGTAAGAATCCTACAAGAATCACACAAGGACCTTTCTAGAAATTTCATTTTTCCCTCTTTGGTTTTTAATTATCATTTTAGGTTATTTATAACCAATTGAAAAATGTAAATAATAAAAATAAAAAAGATATACAGAAAAAATACTATTATCATTTTTAAATAAAGAACATAAATTAAGTGTGGAAATAATTACAACTAAATAAAAATAAAGTCACAAAAATGGAAGAATTTAAATTTCATAATCGATAATATATTACTTTCTTGGACTTTGAACCTATATTATTATTGAATTTAAAACGTTAAATAATTATCAAATGAATGTAAACTACTAATAAATAAATACTTACTTAAGTTTTGAAGTTCACAAATACAATAATTAGATAGGTAATTGGAAAAATTAATAATTTATTTATAAGGTTAAGTAACAATTTCTTGAAACTTATGAGTGATCGAGAAAAAAAAATATAATACCTATATATACATAAAATGTATTTTCGTTATTAATTGTAATTATTATTGTAATAATTAATATTGTAATCATTGTAATAATTTTGTTATAATACTGTAATTATTATTATTATTTTTATTATTAATTGCTTAATTAAATTTGTTATTAAAATATTACATAAATAAATAAAATTATTGTTTTTAAAAGTGTTCTAATTATTATGTTAAATATTTGAAAAATTAGTATAATTCATTGCTAAATTTATAAAAATTTGTTATTCTGTGTCAATTATTTAAAAAAAAATTTTCTTTTAGAAAACTTTATGAGCAAACTACGCAGATTATTTATAAATAATAATATAATAATTTCTAATAATAAATAAATGGTATTATTTTAAAGCAAATAACCTTAATTAAATAGTAATAATACTATAATTTTTTTGACAACCGAGCGATAAATTCGTTTATATGTGGACGTCCGCATGACCACATGACCACTTTGGCACTATTAGACTTATTTATATGGGCGAATTCCTTGCAAAATTTGGAAAATTTTGAGTGGTCTTAGAACCTTTTTGGTGAAAAATTCGATGACTTACAGAATTTCAAAGTTTAGAATGTCAAAAACCTGATTTCGATAAAATCGAAATTAAAGATTGTAGTGCGAATATATTTGGTTCTTCTAGGAAGTTATTTAGATAAGAATTGTTTTAAGTCTAGTACACCTTTAAGATGAAAAATTAATAGATTTCGAATTTTCCTCCCCCTCCATTTTAAAACAATGAAAAAATAACGGATATCCGACAAAATGGCATATCTTTTCTAAAACTGTGTTTTTTAATTAATAAACTTGATTTTTTGCAAAGTTAATGGTTGGATGTTATTTTATTGAGTTATTTGAAGCAAAAAAGAGAAAGTAGACATAAAAACATTTGTTAAGGGGCTTTATTGTGAATAATCTTAGGAAATATCAAAATTTTCATTTCTAAAAATATACGAAATTAAAAATTTTAATGCGAATTCTTCTTGTACTTCTGGGAAGTTATTTAGATGAGAGTTGTTTTAAGTTTAGTACACCCTTAAAATGAAAAATCAAAAGGT